GCGGGCTCAGGCAATCCACTCACCTCAGCCTCCCAAAGGTGCGGGATTATAGGCTGAGCCACCGAGCCCAGCTAAGAATATTTTTCTAAGTCTTGAAATTTACACATATTTGAGGTTGTATACACTCTCACAGCACTTGTGCAGGATTCTATTACAGCATATATCATACATCTCCTCCCAATAGGGAAGAAACTGTCCTATGCTTCTGAAATCTTGCATAAACACAAATTTTCTTGTTAAAATACCGAGTGAATGGATCCTGTTTCAGATATACAGTCACATGTTGATTAATGATGGGGATACATTCTAAGAAATCCATCACTGGGCGATTTCATCATTGTGTGAACATCATAAAGTAGACTTTACGCAAACTCAGATGGTATGGCCTACTACATACCCAGGCTACAAACCTCCATGGCAAGCAACTGTACTGAATATTATAGGCAACTGTCACACAATGGTGTTTGTATATCTTGACACAGAAACAGCACAGTGAAAATACATTATTATGATCCTATGGGACCGCTGTCCTATGTGCAGTCCAATGCTGGCCAAAGGCTGTTATGCAGCACAACTGTACTTTGAAGGCTAAAAATGTCAGGAGGAAGCCTTCTCTAACACTTTTTTGGGAAGAGGTGTGGGCAGAGAGGGCAGGCTTTCTATCAAAGGAGAGCCAAAGCATTACATTAACACGGGCTTTGATATGGCTCACCTTAATAAAGGTACAGTGCCCTCGTGGGTCTGGAGAAGACTATGAACCTGGGGCGCAAATGTCTTCAAAGAGAGAATCACAAAAGGAATCTTGTAAGAGTCTGGATCAAATTCATGTTCACTGAAGAAAGGAAAACAAAAGAGTCAACTGACATCCCTCAGGGGTCTGAAACGTTCACAGGAAATTCTAATACATGCTCCACAATCTTATATGAAAAGATGATCCCTAAGAAAAAGGGGTGGTATACCTGAAATCCTTATTAGAACAATGCTGTCTGCAGACAGGCTCGTGATATTCTATCTCTTCAAATATAATTGGGCTGCAATTCGTGGAGGAGCCGTCATGTGACTGGGAAGATCCCAAGGGGCTCTGGCGGGCCTGGCTGCTGGGCAAGAGACATACCAGTCGTCCATTTCCCTGCTCCCGGATTGCAACCGTGTCTGTTAATTTATACAGATCTGACACATTCAACTTGTGTCCAAACCTAAAAGCCAGAGAAGAGAGATGCTTAGAAGATTTCTCTTTGATTATACAGAAATGCCTGTCCTGCCTAAATAAGGGCTACACCTAAGCATGGCACCTCCATCTCACAGAAGTAGAATGAGAATAATTCCACTATCGATTCACTCACTGCTTAGCCAGTGAGGCCTGGCATGCCCAAGGCACCTCTGGCTCATGTCTCCTTGCAATGATGGTACCATCTGGCAGCCTCCCACCTCTACGTGGGTTCTGTATGTGGCCTCACCTGGTTCTCTGGATGGAAGGCTCTCTGAAGTGCCCTCCCTCTACCTGCTCCCCTCACTCCCAGCTCCCTCTGTAGCCCCACTTCCATCCCTCCCTCCTCCCCCAAAAGCAGCATCCACCTCTCCCTCTCAGTCCCCTCTTGCCTCCCCTAGGCCTATGTGCATGACCTATACATCCTGAGCCTGGCTGCCTTCATCTTCCTCCTGACTTGGACCTTCCCTACGTAGCACTCAAAGGCACGGGCTCTAGAGGCAGGTGGATTTGAGTTCACATCCTGACTCAACTTCAACCTGTGTGACCTTAGTCAAGTTACACAACCAGTCTGGCCCTCACTTTTTACATCTGTAAAATGGGGTAAAGATAAGACCTACCTCACAGGGTTGATATGAGGACTAAATGCAATTAGGTATGGTCAGGGCTTGGTTCCTAGTAAGTGCTCGGGTAAGCGTCACCTTCTCTTCTCACTGCCTGTCCAGTGGTTCCTCCCCAGGCCCTAGATACACGCTCAGACTCCCCTCTGCCCTAACCAGTCCCTTGTCCTCTCCCGCTTGATGGGATATACAGTCTCCCTTTTGCCCTGCTCTGTCTGGACTCTTCTTGTCCCTCTAGTGAAATCAGTTGGTCTCTCAGAAGCTGCTCCTGTGGCATCTCAGTCCCCTCCCTCCTGCAGTTTATCCAAAGGACTCTGTAGTGACAACTCTAAAGTCACCAGAGGCCTCTGCCTCACCCCCAAGCCTCATGCCATTTCCTTAGGCCCGGGACTCCCCACATTCCTGAGAGTACTCTCTTTCCACGGATCCCTTTGGGTTCTCACCTGCTCCCTGGCTCTGGTGACCTTCCATCCTGTTCTGCCCTTCTCTCTGCTTCTTCATCCCCCCACCCCATCTCATCTGCTCCCAAATCTTTTGCATTCGCCTTCAGGCAAATGACTGCCTTATCTCCAGAGTCCACTTCCTCCAGAGGGAGCCTCACTATGTACAGAAGACCACCTGAACGCTCTAGCCAGCTACTCCAATGGGCTAAAACTTGCACGTGCAAGACCAAGATCAAAAACTCCTTGTACCTCCTAATCACGCTTTGTTCCCCTATTTGCACAGCTTCCCAGTCACCCAAGGCAAAATGCTCAGAATCAAACTGACCTCTGTTTCCACCTTGCCTGTCACATAAAACTAGTGACCCAGTCCTGTTTCACTGACATCTGACATTTCTGTGGCATCTAGTTCCTTCTGTCCCAACAGCATCAGCCTAGAACAGGGACTGGTGAGGCACTGTCCCTGTCTACCTCCATCCCTTCCTGTTCATGCCATCTCAGACACTACAGCCACCAGAAAAGCCTTCCTGCAGCAGAGGCCCCAGGCCCACACTCTCCCCTCCTTTACTCTTCCAAGACTTCAGTGGTTCCCTATTCTTCATGAAAGATCGCCAAGCTCCCTGTTCTTCCCCTTCTCTATATCCTCAGAGCATTGCCTCCACCTTTCTCCTCTTCAGTGACAGTTTCTGTCATCTGATACAAGATTTGATATAAGAGAATCTTCTCAACATAAGCTTTGTCAGGATGAGGCCTATGCCTTGCCCAGCTCTGCCTCCTCCATAGGGCTTCAGCCTTCCATTCCACTAATACTTGCTGGGCACCTACTATGTGCTGGGTACTGAGGACACAATGATAGGGACAGCCAGTCCCTATCATCCTGGATCTTCAGTCAAGAGCTCAAAAAGTTTCATTCAATAAATACTAAAACTGATCAATTTGGGGAAAAAAAAGTACAGTTTTGAAAACTGAAGACCTAAAGAAGCTTTTTCTTTTTTTGAGTGAGGCTCTCACTTGGTTGTTTAGGCTGGAGGGTGTACCGGCCACGACTGTTGGCTCACCACAGCCTCAATCTCCTGGGCTCAAGTGATCCTTCTGTCTCAGCCTTCCGAGTAGCTGAGACAGCAGGTGCATACTACCTTACACCTATTAACAAGCACTGCCCTTATTGTGATTTCTTTGTAGAGATGAGGTCTTGCTATGTTGCCTATGCTAGTCTCTATCTCCTGGGCTCAAGCAATCCTCCCGTCTTGGCCTCCAAAAGTGCTAGGATTATAGGTGTGAGCCACCGCATCTGACTAAACTTGAAATTTAAGTCTGACATGTGTTTCTTTGTCTCCTTTCCTCTACCAAACTGGAATTTCCTTAGGAGTCATTACCATGGTTTAGTGCATGTAAGTCACCAGATTTAAAAAAAAAAAAACACCAAACTTACTTCTTTTCATAAATGTCTGTAAACTTAAAAAGAGGAAGACAACAGGCAGGAGCATCCTGAAGAACAGAAACTGTTTCTGCACTGTAAGACAAAATTGTAATTAGAGAGCAGACCATTCCTCTACATTACAGATTATATTTTTAAAACAGTTTATAAAATAAGCACAATGTGTATACAGAATAAACTGACTGGTTTCTGATCTGTCAAAATTTATATTCCAGAAAAATTTTTAAAAAAGATTTTAGGGACAAGCCAATGAAAGAACATCCAGTTACATACTAGCCTTAGGAGACTCAATCACAGGGTTTCCCACACCTGTGGAGCAAGACACTGTTGGTTCAGAGCAAAAGGCAGAACAGGTGAATAGCTCCTACCACACTGCAGTTATATGCTAGATGTATGTGAATGAAATTCCTGCAGGTGAGGATACATACTTGAACACAACATAATCTCAACTATGGTTTTAAAAAACAAAAAGGCACCAGAAAAACTCAAAGGGGGAAAAAAACCCATAAAACAAAAAGAAAAGGCAAACTGTTGTTAAGGGTGACTGGCTCTGAGTCACAGGGTTATAAATGATATTTTTCCTTTGCTTCTTTTATGTTTCTGAATTTTCCAAATTTCCTTCAATTATTTTTAAGGAATAAAACCTATATAAAGTAATGGTAAAGTACAAGTTAGAGAAAAGATCCCTGATCACCCAGACATTCAGGAGTGGGTCCTATTTCACTAGATCCCCCAAAACAGGAGAGCCAAAGAAGAATCAAATCTTATTATGAACTTTAATTTTTTGGAGGGGGTCAGGGTCTCACTTTGTTGCCCAGGATGGAGTGCAGCGGCACGATCACGGCTCACTGCAGCCTGCAACTCCTGGGCTCAAGTGGCCCTCTTGCATCAACCTTCCGAGAAGCTGGGACTACAGGTGCATGCTAACACACTCGGCTAATTTTTTAATTTCTTGTAGTGATGAGGTCTTGCTATATTGCCCACACTGGTCTCAAACTCCTGGGCTCAAGCAATCCTCTTATCTCAGCCTCCCAAAAATTATAGGCATGAGCTACCATACCCAGTCTGACATAGTCTTAATGTAGACTTATGAGGCTGATACGGTATCTATTTGACATTGAGGCTATATCTGCATATATGTATCTGGGAGCTTTGCAGATCCTGCCTTTATAGACAAGCCCACCTTCTGCTAAGATCTGCAGGTAATATTTTAGACTCTTCAGGCTTATAAATTTTTATTGTAGAGATCTACTATTTTGAGAACTTGCTCTGGATATGTGGTGGATTCTTTTACTCCCAAATGGCTGTCAAGTTTAGGCTGCACCGCACCTTTCACTGACTTACACAAAGTCAAATCACTTATTCCTTACTATCAATTGAGAATAAGGCTTATTCCATATGTGTAAGCATCATAAGAGGGTTGGGAATATGATAAAATCTATTTTATTTTTTCTAAAACTGTTTCTGAGTTACATGTTACTTCCTGAAATACATGGCCTGCTCATCTTTTACCTCAGCAAGGAGAGTGACTTATTAGCAGCTCCTGTGGCAAGGGACACCAGTATCTTTTTGCCGCCAATTTTGTATCTGTGGAGGCTATTCACTGCTCCAACTGCTTCTTGCAAGTTTTCCATCTGAACCACAGCCTTGAGTTGATAATCTGTATGGGGACTGAGCTCAACACTCTTCACCTGCAACAGTATAAAGAAAAACTGAATGCTATGTTTACCAAGAGCCTTGTCATCTCTGAGCTGAAGGTGAGTCATTAAGGAAGACATTTGGGGATTTTGGTGCTTCCATGAGGGCAACTTGACTGAACTCTGCCCACCAGAAGGTAAGTGAGCGAGGACAGGGTGGCCTTCAGAGATGTGATGCTGGCCTGGTCTGTTTGTGTGCTCTGGCACACACAGCTCTTCAAGGCAGACACAGAGCCCAATGTTCTGTTAATAATCTGTAAGAGACACATTTTGCTAAAAGTGCACCTAAGAACTGAGTTAAATACATTAAGATATAAACAAAACACCAGCCAGCATTATTTTATTATTACTATATGTGTACAGTGGCACAATCATGGCTCACAGCAGCCTCGACCTCCTGGGGCTCACGCAATCCTTCTGCCTCAGCTTCCTGAGTAGCTGGGATGAGACTACAGGTGCACATCACCATGCATAGCTAATTTTTTGTTTTTGTAGAGACAAGGTCTTGCTATGTTGCCCAGGCTGGTCTCATACTCCTGGACCCAAGCAATCCTGCATCAACCTCCCAAAGTGCTGTGATTACAGGTGTGAGCCCCTGTGCCTGGCCATTATTTTAGAATTCGATTTCTGTATTTCAGCAGGTAGAGCTAACTAAAACCCATTAATATTTTATTTACCAAGTGGTCATTTCAATCCCTGCCTACAACAAGTGCTTTTCACTGCTAGGTGTCTTGTTCTCTGGGACTGCAGCCTAAAACCTAGATTTATAGCACAGCCCTGAGCAGACTGAAAGGAAAAGGAAGGAGTTCCAACTCGTTCAGGTACACTCATATCCTGGCTGGTTATGTGTATCAAGTTTGCTTGACATGAAATCTCATCAAAGAGTAAAACAAAAGCAAGAACAAGAGGGAAAAGGTTACCTTGCCATGCCTAGAAAACGCTTCCTGCAGGAGCTGCTGCAGCTCCTTTCGGGATAGCCTGTAGTCGATGTTGCTGACCTGGATGTCGGCACCATTTGCAAACGGGTCGGCAAAATCGGCACTGCTACTCGAGTTTGCAACATTGAAAGCAAGTGGAGATGCTCGGTGTAAAAGACTTGGTGACACGCTCCTGCTGGAAACACATGCAGGGAGATGGTTTCTAAAAACCGCTCTGTAAATTTAGGTTTATCATTTAGGCTTTGTTTGAAACAACATACAGAAATAGCTTTCCCACAACACAACCAAACCAAATGTTTGGTTTTCAAACGTGTTTTTAAATCTTAAACATACACTGATTTTAAGCTTATTGTCAAAAGTACTGTCTACTGACCACGTATTCACAATAGTAGATTATTTAAGATCAAATATTCTTTCACTGGAGTATTTAAAGCTAAACACGGATATTACAGGCAGCCCAGGTGAACTAACTCTGTTTTGAGCATTTCTTCTCTGGAAATTAGCCTATGATCTCAATTTGAAGCACTTAACCTCCTCTGTCACTGAAAAGTTAGATATTCTCGCTCATGCACTGCAGTTCTTCTGCACATCAGGAAAACCTGAGTGTGGATTTTTAGAAGAAATTCTACAGACCCAGTTGCTTCCTATCGTGATGGGTCACCAACTCAGTGGAAGCAATGTACTGCTAGAAGGAGCTCCTGGAATGCCACAAAGCCCACGTCTCCCTGTCTTCCACGCCTCAAGAATTCCACAGGGTTTGCAACCACGGGGTGAGTTTAGAAAGCTTAGAGTGACAGATAATTCCAACAGTCTACAGAGAACTTGACTTCTCAAACAGCTTTCTGAAAATACCACATTAACTCATTTGTGACAGCTGACATGAATTTATGTCATTCCAAATTCTGTTCTTGGTTGCTGCTAATGCAAATTCACCTCATTGTGGAAGACTGTCTTTTCGGGTTTATAATCCAAATAAAAATATAAAGTACAGAATGCTAGTCAGTGGTGTCTGAGGCAAATACTGGGTATCTCCGCAACTTTCAGCTGACTGTGAAAAAGGTGACAATTTAGAAAAAGACAATTTCACTAGAGCTTAACAACAGAAGTTTGTGACAATCAGTTTCATATTTTTTATTTTCACCTGGTCTCAGGAAAGTGAAAAATTTGCCAGTTGCAAATGTGTTAATAAGAATGACCAAGGCATACTTTGAGGAAGGGCTTTTTCCTCAACACAGCGAAAGTGAAGCTTAAAATGCCTCCCATCACTGGCTAGGGACCCCAGGACAGGCCTCTGACCTCTGTTTACCTAGATTTGCACATAGAGGGGCAGGAAGTGGTGAAAGCTAAATGTTAACTATGATTTCCTAAGGATCAGGGGATTGGTGGAGGAGGGACAGAAGACTTATCTTTTACTTTGTGCATTTCAGTACTGTCAGAATTCTTTTCAACATACATACTGTTTCATAATCCCTCCTATCACGTTACCACCCCATGGGTCAGGAAGCTGGACTCACCTAGAAGCCCAAGACTGAGACGTGAGCAGAGGACTCACTTGCCTGGATGCGATCAGCTTGCTAAAGGCAGATGGATAACTCACTTGGAACAGAGGCTCCTCTTTGTCTTTTTTCTCTACAGGAGAACTGGTAACACTTCGGGTACTAAGGGTCTCTTTTCTAACAGAAGGGGAAAATCGAAGGGGAAGGTCACATGTCTTCCTTCATGTTAAAGAAGCAACCACGAGAAAGAATAACGTCACATACTTCTGATTGGTTTTGAAAACAGGTTCTGCCAGCCCCGAAGATTTGGATGTCGGCACTGCAGCACTTGAGCTGCTGTGAGGAGGGACTCCCAGCCTCATGCTGCCCTGCTGGTGCTCACTGTTTCTATTACCAGTTTTGGACTCCATGCGGCACAGCTCCTTCAAAGACACAAGTGCAGTGGGGTTTACAATGTAAGTATCCAAGATGTGTTAGATCTTGTGCAGAAAACAACCGACTCGGAGTATCATCAAAAACGGAAATAGGAAAGGCACACCAAAAGCAAGCAGGCACATACAACACAGAAGCAAAGAAACCAAACCTACCATAAACCTCAGAAAGCAAGAGGTATCACAATTACCTGTAAACTTTTAATGTTTGTATTTTTTGTAGCAGATCCGGAATTTGCCTGTGACCCTTTTCCAGGCATGGCTTTGGCACTGGAAGATTGTTCACTTGCATCTTTGATGAGGCACAATTTTGGATTCTTAAGTTTTTTGGGAGACTTCACTTTATCAGCAATTGCACTGGAACTCTTTGTTTCACAGAGTTCTCTATTTTTTGGAGTAAATGACACAATGATCCTATTACCAAAGACATCTTCGTTTTCCATTCGCTTCTGAGCGCGTTCTGCACTATCTTGGTTTATGAAGCGGAGGACTGCGCTGCAGCCTGTGATACTCAGGACCTTCCCACCACAGTTATCCGACAGGCGCCTGAGCCTGCTGCTGATGCTCTTGCCATCTTTATTTGCTGGTAGGTTATAAACATAGAGCAGAGTGTGGCACTGCTAATACAGAGAAAACAAGTGTTACACCAGGTTAACTCAAAGGCACAGGCTCCATTTCAAAAATAAAAAAGCAATGAATAACTTCCAATCTTTAGCTAACAACCTTGGAGGGGGGAGGTGACAGGGATTTAGAAGGAAGAGGGTAAACTTTATTAGTGTTGACAAGGTAACTGAGTGTTGTTTTAAACAATATGCTAGGCACAGAAGTCTGTATTTTGTATGATTTCATTTCTACAAAACTTCCAGAAAAGGCAAATCTAAAGAGACAAAGATTAGTGGCTGCCTGGGGATAGGAGGGAGTATCAACTATAAACTGGCATAAGAGATCTTACTGAAGTGATGAAAATATTCTATAACTGGTTGTTGTCTGAAGCCATAACACCCTAAATGCATCCAATCTTTTCTAAAGTTGATTGTATAACCTAGTAAATTTACTAAAAGTTATTGAACTGTATAATTAAAAGAGCTGAATTTTGTGCTATGTAAATCATATCTTGGTAAGTTGTTTTTTAAAAACAACTTTATTTCTTTATCAGGGCTACTGAAAATATGCTATGGCCGGATGCTGTGGCTCACACCTGTAATCTCAGCACTTTGGAAGGCCGAGGTAGGACGATTGCTTGAGCCCAGGAGTTCAAGACGGCCTCAGCAACATAGTGAGACCTCATCTCTGTAAAAAAATCAAAACACTAGCTGGGCATAGTTGTGCATGCCTGTAGTTTCAGCTAATTGGGCAGCTGAGGTCAAGCCTAGGAGGTTAAGACTGGGGTGAGCAGTGATCGTGCCACTGCACTCCAGCCTAGGGAACAGAGTGAGTGAGATTTCAACCCTTTAAAAAAAAAAAAGAAGAAAGGAAAATATTTTATAAAGTTAGAGCCTGAGGCTAAGCAGGGTTAGTCCTGGTTAGGTCTTGGCTGGGAGACCACCTGAGACTACCAGGTGCTGTAGGTTTAAATGAAAAAAATAAAGTTAGGGCCTATTCAACTACAATAGCAGATTACCCGAAGTCAGTCTGGAAATTCTATTTGGCAGTGGGGTTATAACCCTTTCAGATGACTTAAAATTTATGTATTGAGAAGGAGAATCATCATTAAAGTACCAGGAAAAAAAACTTAATTACAGAAAGTGTTAAATCCAGAAGCCATAAAAGAAATCACTAAAAATGGGCAAAGGATGTGAACAATTTGCAGAATATATATCAAGAGTCAACAACAATAATAAAAGGATATTTTATACCTTGCTAATGATTAATAAAAAGGCCAATTATAAGCAGATACCGTTTTTCACCAGACTGTCATATATTTATTTATTTTTAAATTTTTTTCTATCTTATTTTTCTTCTTTTTATAGAGATGAGATCTCACTATGTTGCCCAGGCTGGTCTCGAACTCCTCAGCTCATGCTGTCCTCCCGCTTCAGCCTTCCAAAGTGCTGGGAACACAGGCACAAGCCACCCCACCTGGCCTGTCAAATATTTCAGAGACACTCTCATTTTTGTAAATAAAAATGCAAATCTGTATAACCCTCCAAAAGGACAATTCAGATCCTGCTAATAAAATTCTGACCCAGAACTTCCATGCCTTGGAACTTACCCTATGGAATATTAAAAGAAGACATAGGTCACCTTGCTGGAGATGGTGAAAAACTGAGTATAAACAAAACATTCAGTAATAGATAGACTGGTTAAATAAGTTAAGCACCAGCTACACAGGTATATTTCAAACCAACATTTTGCTGAGTTTTAAAATATGGTCGATTTTCTTACATTTTAAAATTTTTGAAAAATTGCTTTTTAGGTCTTACCCTTTTAAAAATCTAAAAAAAGAAAAAATAAAATGTGGTAGATTTATATTAATATATATTGACATGAAGAGGCATCCAGGCTAGGACACTAATTTTTTAAAGTCCTAGAACACTATGTGACACTTTAAAAAAAGTACTGCATTTTTTAAAATTTGGAGAATACCAAACTGCTGCTAACAGTGGTTACCTCAGGAGGGTAGGACTGTGGGGTTTTCACTTTCTATTTTTCTGAATATTGTTGTTTTTACAACGAACACAGTACACTTCTAGTCAGAGGCTTTTCTTTTTATTTGAGGGGTATTAGCCAACTATCAACCAAATTTGTACTTTTCCTATTACACCTGGGACTCAAAACTCAAACAGTACCAATCTATGTCTAATTGATTAAAATTAAAGAGACAGACTTAAGAGTATAAAAATATATATATATTTTTTGAGTTGAGGTCATCCTCCGTCACCCAGGCTGGAGTGCAGTGGCATAATTATGGCTCACCCCAGTCTTGGACCTCCTGGGCTCAGGAAATCCTTCTGCCTCAGACTCCTGAGTAGCTGGGAATACAGGCACATACCACTATGCCTGGCTAATTTTCAGATTTTTATTTTTTGTAGAGACAAGGTCTTGCTATATTGCCTAGGCTGGTCTCAAGTAATCAATCCGCCGCCTTGGACTCCCTACATGTTGGGATAACAGACATGAGCCATCAGGCCCATCCAAGAAATGTATCTTAAGTTATCACTATAGTAGACAAGGAAAAACACCTGGCAAAACTGAATGTTTTGAATATAGAATAATCAATAATCAGTTGCTTTGTTGTTGTTTTTTTTAACGGTAAGGAATAAAGATCTTCAAAGTGGGCAAACTCTCACCTAAAATACTACATTTGACTTAAAAGCCTTCAAGGTTAGAACAGTGAGTGTCAAACGGAAGCAGAAGGGAGGAAATGTAGCTACATCCAAGAGACTAAAAACAGTAAACAAACAACAAGGACGTGTAAGGAAAGAGATTCAGACTCAGAAGATGAAGGTAGGGACTATCCATGTTTCCTCCTTAAGTAAGATTGGTATCACCACTGTGGATTGTCTGCAGCATGAGTCTCATTTTAGTCAGACTCAGTTTGTTGGGAACACAGTGGGCCTAGCATGCAAGTGCTTTAATGGGGAGTCCTGGGGCCCAGTCTATGAGCTGATACATTCACCAATGACTCGCTTACTTTTTCAAAGTGCTACTTCTTCCTTTAAGTGAGGACTTTGCCTGAGATTTTTTTTTTTCTTTTTGGGTTCACTTTGTCACCTAGGCTGGAGTGCAGTGGCATGCTCACGGCCACTGCAGCCTCGACCTGCTGGGCTCAGGCGATCCTTCCCCCTCAGCCTTCCTAGCTGGAACTACAGGCATGTGCCACTACACCCACTGATTTTTTGATTTATTGTAGAGATGAGGTGTCGCCAAGTTGCCAAGGCTGGTTTCAAACCCGTGGGCTCAGGCAATCCTCTCACCTCGGCATTCCAAAAGTTCTGGGATTATAGGCATGAGCCACCACGTCTGGTGCCTGAGATCATTTCTAAGGTACCTCTGCAGTTCTACAGTTATTTTGTTGTATGTTAACACTGCATCTGCATGGGACTGCCCACTCTCCTGGACCACTCACACCATCGCTCCTTAACATTACCATAACTATTTCTCTAATAGTTGCACATCTATCTTCCAAACAACTTAAACACAGCACAGCGATGCAGTCAACACAATGATCCAAAATCAAGTCCACCAGAAATGCCAGCCCTCCTGGAAACAGACTTCAACTTCCTAGCCTGTGGCTTAAATGGGTTGTAGGTGTAGGAGTACCCAGTCCACCTAACTGGGCCTGGACAGGATAGGGAATGCATGCTAAAAAGCACAGCCTCAGAGGCCTGCCAAAGCTTAAGGATTATATGCCTAAAAAAATGACTCCGTGTATCTGATGCCATCCACATGAGATGTGAAAACCCTCACCATATTATCTACACATAATACCTGAGAGCAAAAAGAGTAATGATTCTTATTCCATTATTTCCATCCATTTGACATAAAACATTGCTAATGTGGACACACTGGCAAGTAAGGTAAATCCACAGCTTAATTCCCTATTATATTTTGGGGGGGAAAAAGAGCAAAATTAATACATAACAATTCTTTGGAAATCTGTAAGAGAAGAACGAAGGCTTCTAGCCTTATTTTAAAGTCTGATCAGCCTCCTAGAAATAAGCCCCATTTGAGTGTGGCGACCCTTTGTTAAGGGCTGTCTTTCACCCTTCATAATCTAATACTAGAAAATAGCAAAAATAATGCAAACCCACTTACTGGTATTTTTAGTGGTAACCTGGGGGGCAAGTCGGAAATGAACTCTTCAAATCTGATCAGTTCATTAGCATGATGCAGCAGTGCTTCTGAAGCCTGGTTTTTATGGACCAAAATTATATGGAAACCATGCCTGTGTCTCAGGTCACTAAGTTCCAATGCAAAATTGACATCAGCTGAAAGAAAAGGTACAGACCACCCCAAACATTAGAAATACGTGACCAAGACAGATAGCTCTACTAACACCCACTGAGAAGGCAAGACTGGACTGTACTCTCCCCTTCTTAAAATACACACACTTCACATCAGAAGAATTAACGTAAGACAACCTCACCACACACCTATAAGAAATCCATGACACACGTTACTTCCAGTGTTAAAAGGCAGCAAATATTTATATGATGGGGAGACTCAAATCTGAGAATTACTTATTTTAATAATATTTATATTAAGCCCGGGGTTAAAAAAAAAATCACATTTTCTTTAGTAAACTTGGCCTCACAAGAACTCAAGCTCCAAGGAGAAAATACAAAAGTCTACATACACCCAATTTTTTTCCTAAGCAGTTCTCAACAGCAAGCATAAGCATGTCTTTCGTTATTTCTACCTCTTTGAGGGTATATCTTATTGACACATTACTGCTTCTATAATTCCCGCACAGGGAGTTGAACTGCAAGTGGCAGACGTCTGTGTACTTACTTGACACAAGAACCACAGTGGCAGGTGCAGTGTGAGTGTTTGCAAACCTCCGGAGGCTCTGGCGGAGCTTGTCATCCGCAGCATTCTTTGCAGTGGCATTGATGTGGGCAACCGTCACCTGCGTTCATTTACCATAAGGGAGAACGAGCATGAGATGAGGCTAGAGAATTGCTACACACTCAGCCCACGTTTTAGCAAATCATTCTTGAGGGGGAAAAAAGCCTCTTTTAGTATTAGGAACAAGAAAAAAATTACAGCCGGTGCTTGGTAATTCCAAAATTGGTTCTCCATATAAATTAATCGAGTCTGTTATTAGCTCTGTTTTCATCTCTAATCCTGTTTTGTACTAATTTCACTCTCTCTCTTTCAGAAAATAAGTAGAAAATAGGAAGTGAAATTTGAAGTTGTTAAATTTGCTCTGAGAGCTTTTGCCAACAACTTGGAGGTGGCAGAGGTTAGATGAATGACTAGGATTTGGGGCTGCAGTTTGAGTCACTTGTCTATGCTGCTTGCCTGTGGCTTTCAGGACCTGGGGCTAGGTGGTAGAAAGGAGAGTAGACCCTCGAGGAGTTAAAATGCACCTACTCTTCAAACTGTCAGGCTCACAAATAAGTCTCCAAAGCAAGGAAAGGTTTTTTGTTTGGTTGGTTGGACTTATGTATTTATTTATTTTTGAGTCAGGGTTTCACTCTGTCACCCAGGTTGGAGTGCAGTGGCATGATCATGCTCACTGCAGCCTTGACCTGCTGGGCCAGAAAATCCCTCTGCCTCAGCCACCCAAGTAGCTGGGACTACAGGCATGCACCACCATACCCAGCTAATTTTAAAATTTTTTGTAGAGACAGGGTTTCACTATGTTGCCCAGGCTGGTCTTAAACTCCTTGGTTCAGGCAATCCTTCTGCCTCAGTCTCCCAAAGTGCTGGAAGTATAGGTGTGAGCCATCGTGCTTGTTCCAAAGCAAGGAAAGGTTTATTTTGAGAGGTGCCTGAAGCACCTGCAATGCACAATAAGATTTGTTAGTTTTTGTAAAGCACATAAATGTATAATTTTAGATAGCAATATGTATTATCAACATAATTAACTGTCTAAGAGTCAAAAGACCCGGATTCTAGCTCCAGCTTAAAAGCACAGGTTTTGGGGGTTAGACAACCTAGATATATAAACCCGAGCTCTTCTGCTTATCAGTCATGTGATCTTAAAGAATTACCTTCAGTTTTATTTGTAAATTGCAAATAATAAACTCTTATGTTCCTGGTTCACAGAGCAGTTATGAAATCCCAAAGAAACAATACATATGTCATCATGATGTGGTATGGCATTAAAATATAAGTTAAGGAGCATTATTTAAAGATCAAATGTGATTAAATTATTTCCCAGCACTTTCAAAATGATCTTTTACTAATTTCTTTTATTTGAAAACTTAGCACAAATGCAATATTAAGCAAATTTTAAATCAGAATTCTTTTTAAAAAATCACATGCTTATTCTACCATAAAATTTTTTTAAAATTATTTTTACCTGGCAATTGTTCAGCTCTTGAATAACTTCCTTGTTTTCTTTACTGATGTCACACACACAGATGAATTCTGCTTCTCTGTGGCCTTTAAAAAATTTCTCACGGATTCTTTGCACAACAGCAGTAGCTGACCGGCCAGAGGGTACGGAGCAGTTTTCAATATCCCAAAAAACTCCAATGGGAGGTAAGTTTTCTAGCAACTGTCCAGCTATTGCAACTTCTGGTGACCCTTAAAAAATGTTAACACTTTCAATTACATGTAGTGGAAAAAACAGCAAATTAAAATAATAGGTAGCTTCCTATCATCCTTGGGGTAGAAAAACTAAATTACTGACACTAAGTTTTAAGGATACCAACTGCACTGGTTGACTTAATAAGCTACCAACCAAGTTGTCAAAGTATTAGTCCATTCCTGCTTTTCAGGAGAGGTCAAATCTCAAGGCCAAGTGACTTTAAGCCCCCAATAAATTCTCTTGAAAGCAAGAGCCATTCTCATGCTGAGCATTGATGTGTCTCTGAACATTGACTGGCTGCTGCAGCTCTGGGACCTGTTGTTCATTTGTTCATGCTCAGCCCATGCTTACCTACTTACTCAGTGTTATACAGAACACCAACGAGGGAAGCTGTTAACTGTTGTTGATTTTAAATTATTTCTAAACACAGCATTAACATCTGATTGAACATTTTTAAAATGTTTTCAAAAGATAAAATATCACATTAACTGCTTTTTGGAGAAATGATAGTAACTGAGAACTCTTCAGTTTTCCAATACTGTTTTTAATCAGCCATTAGTAAGTCATTATACATACTAACATTTCTGGGAGTATACAATCAACAAATGTGATTATGAACCTAAGTAAACACCAAGTCTCCTCTGGCACTTTATTTCTCCTAATATACTACCCCTTTTTTATTTATTTAACTTATTTTTATTTTTCGAGTTGGAGTCTCACTCTGTCACCCAGACTGGAGTGCAGTGGCTGCTCCCGGGCCACTGGGACCTACTGGGGCTCTGGCGACCCTTCCGCCTCAGCCTTCCAAATAGCTGGAATTACAGGTGTGCGCTACCACGCCCGGCTAATTTTTTTTTTTTTTTAATTTATTGTAGAGATGAGGTCTCACCAAGTTGCCCAGGCGGGTCTCGAACCTGCGGGCTCAGGCAATCCACTCACCTCAGCCTCCCAAGGTGTGGGATTACAGGCTGAGCCACTGAGCCCAGCTACTACCCCTTTTTTAATACACAGCTTCTGATCTCAAACAGCCTCAGTCCAAGATACAGGGCAAATGACTTCCTGTCTATAATAAAAAGATTTTGGCCAAGAGATGGAAATGGAGACTCACATACACAGTAGATTTAGAACCACAAGGACTCTTCTTAAGGCGATTAAATGCAGTATTAGTATCAGATATTGAGAAGTATTTAAATATGCACATTTGATGCCATACTGTCATTTACCAAATTTCGAAGCAGCTTTGCCTAGACTGGTCGCCAATAACAACGTGGTTTCCTTCCCTGTTCCTTTGGTTCCACAGCCATTACACAGAGGGACAGCAAGAGGTGCAGGTTGAGTATTTGGAGGTGGTATATTTGGCCAGACTTTAGCAGCATCAATTATACTATTTCTTGCCGGCTGTTATAAAATTTTTTTTAAAAAAGGGGAGATTTCAGATATATCACTTCAGAACCTAGAGTTATATACAACTGAGAATGCATCCTAAGTGTTTTACCTTTCTACCTGCTAATCTCTGACAAAACAAATTTTCAAATCATCTTTCCCAGAATCATTTGCTATCAATTCATAAATTCATTTCCAGAAATGACTTGAAATGACCAGCGAAGACAGTCACATGACCAGATGTCTAGGGCATGTCTGTTGCAATGAAGACCTCACACACACTTTATATAAAGAGTAGTCTTCCCTTGAACAACAGAGTGACTGAGGCTGACTTTCAAGTTCCTGGCATTATTATTACAAAAAGACAACATGTGATACCTATATTACATAAATGGGCCAACGTACAAGCTGAGTCTAACTGATAAGAAATCAATTGTGTTCTAACATTTAAAGGCAAAAGAGAATATGGAGACAGTGCCAAACTAGGTTCACATGTAGGAAATTGACTGATTATAGCAAGAGGCTCTAAAAGCATAAACTACATAAATAATGACCCTGCACTTTGGAACAGTCTCCTGTTATCCCCTTTGTTCCTTTCAGAACTAGAAGCAGTTATGGTGATGGGAAGCAATCTACACTATAGAAGAACCTTCAAGCCCACACACAATAAAGACTTCCTAAGATAAATCCACTTCAAAATAGTTATTCCTCAATCCTTAGCTGCACCCAACATAAAAAAGTAAAAGACACAAACCTTGTTTAGACAGTCTTCGCAGTAAAGTGAGCCCTTTAAACAAACCGGAGGTACCACATTAAGGTGCAAAGAGTTGGTGCACAAGTGAGGCGTGAGCTCCGACTGTGACCTGTGCTCTTCCAAATGCCCTGGAACCCCACTTGTGAAATCTGAACAGGGGAAATAGCCGGCAGAGGTGCAGCCCTGCAGAGTCGGGAACTGATGCAACTTGTGCACGTTACCATGACACGACTGGAAATGGAGTTTTCCACAACAGGGCAGGTGTTTGCAGGAAGACAGATTGTTCTCTAGACACATGCTGGGGAAGTCGCTTGCAATGCCTGCTAAACCGTTCCTTGCCGAGGCATTCTGGAGTGAAGATGCAGACTGGAAAGCAAACCCTGACCCTACCTGACATGTGATTGTCCTGGTGTTTTGCGAGTCTAACAGTGCGCCCGTGTGAATCAAGCTACCAGTACCTCCACCACCGCCGCCACCACCGCCACCACTAGCAAAATGCATTGGTGAAGTGGAGGGTTCATTAGGGCAATGAGCACAGCAGCTTACTTTGGGGACGTTTGAAAGCTGTATTTTAGGTTGCTGAAGAGAATGAATATCAGGAAGTGGGACAGCTGGAAAAAGTTTAGAGCCAGCATGAAGGGGAGATGGTACATCTTTTAATTCCACAGCAACTTTCTTGTTCTCCATGTACTCTTTCTGAGAAAAGAACATCAGAACACAAGTTAGTTGAGTGAGACCAGTGACCGTTTTGGTTACTCATATCCTACAGCACTGAAAATAGAGTGTCCAATTTTGTTTACTTCATTCAGTCACAACCAAACAAAATGGAATAGCAGTTAGCTAAAAACAGGCAAGCCCAGGCAAGGTGGCTTATGCCTGTAATCCCAGCACCTAATCCCAGGGAGGCCAAGACAGGAGGCTCACTTGAGGCCAGAAGTTCAAGACCAGACTGGGCAACATAGCAAGACCTTGTCTCTAAACAAAATTTGTAAAATTAAGCTAGGTGTGGTAACACGCACCTGTAGTTCCAGCTACTTGGGAGGCTGAGCAGGAGGATTGCTTGAGCCCAGGAGTTCGAGACTGCAGTGAGCTGTGATTGCATCACTGCACTCCAGCCTGGGCAATAGAGTGAGACCTTGTCTCTCAAAAGAAAAAGAAAAGTCCCAGGGGCATTCTTCAGAGAAAAAGTGAATACAAAACACATGAGTAAAATTAAAGCTATGCTCTTCCTGCACCTTAAGAGAGAGGTTGGGAGGCCTGTTTAAATCCTCAGCAAGCCACTATGCCTCAGCGAATTCCCTTTGGTAACTTCCCCTCGCCTCACTGAATCTTCTGAAGACAAAATAGGTGGTATGCAAACAACATGGTCACAAATAGCACTCAATAAAGATGGCTTACAAACAAAGTGGCTTGAGGACAATACTGAATAGCGCCTATAGTCAGCTCCTAAGGGGTTTTAGTAAGATCCTCCAAAGGAGAAGACTCCAAACATTATGGGTGACATCAGACATCTGCCCACCCATGTGACTGATGACATTTAATAAATTCCACAATATCATGGCCTAAAGCCATAATGACAACAATTATATTGTAGCCAAGTAAAAACAACTAAAGAAATTAGAAAACAATATGGGAAAAAGTACAGGACAGTTTGTCATATGACTCCAGCGTAGACACAGGAGGCCAGTATATTACAAAAGAGGTTATAAGTACAGCATTAGCAGCACAGACAAGGGTATGAATCTGATATTCAACAGTTGTTTGCCTTTGGGTAACTTACTTAACCTTTCTATGCTTCAGTTTACTCATCCATAAATTGGGCACAAGAGAATGCAGCTGCAGAGTTATCAGAAAGACAGGATGAGATGGTACACGTGAATCACTCAGCACAGTGCCTAGTCACTGAAGGATGATCCAACTAAACAGCCTGTATGGTAGACTGTAAGAGCCATCAAGATGAGGATGCCCTCACTGGTGACTGAGACACATGCAACCTTCAGAGCACAGAAGGGCCATCTGCCTACAACAATGTTGTGATTCTACACTCCTTTTGTTGATTCTACACTCCTCTGGGAGCATATGCCCATCTGGGAGAAATCGGGATTTTCAGTTAAACTTTTCCTAAAAGGAAGGTAATAGCAATGGGCTGACCAGCCAACAAAACAAGCTCCTCTGCCCTTTTGGTAATTACAGTTCAGACTGGAAATTAACACACTGGCATTTTGATGTATTTACATCAGACTCTTACGGGCAGGCTTATTGTGAGTTGGTCCACTGAAACTACTCCATTCTGCATGCCATTGGCAAAACTGAGTTTCAAGATCTATAAAGTTGAGAGTACAATTCTGAATTGGGTGACTCCATGAGGACCAGATCCACCATCCTATCCCAGGATGCCCTGTCAACTGTCCCTAAAGTAAAATACTCCTGAAATGACCTAAATTACTCAGTGCCTTGCAACAAACACTAGACAGTGAAAATCAGAGAAAACACAATTAAATAAGTTTTTTAAAGTTATTAATACCCCTATATAACACTATAATAAAGTCTCATTTGAATCCCAAGTATAATAGAAAACAAGAAATAGAAAGGTGGTAACACGAGTACATGAAATAAAACCAGAAAATGTCAAAATTACAATGAAAAGATAAAGTAGGAAAGAAGGTAGAAATACAAATATTCAAGAGTAATCTTGAACAACAACAAAAAAGAATCTCTTCAATCTTCCCTAAATTACAAGACTCAAAACTCAGGAGTCTATAGGAAAATAAGATTTACTTGGAGCTCTCTTCTGATTTTACCAGACAATATAAATTTATCTTTGGAATCTGCAACTTTAATGAGAAACAAATCTTACCGAAATGTTAACATTAAATATTTATAGTATCTACTGTTTCTCAGAGTTGAATATGGGCTTTAAAAAACTATACTCTCAGCCAGGCAAAGTGGCTCATGCCTGTAATCCCAGCACTTTGGGAGGCGGAGACGAGAGGACTGCCTAAGCCCAGGGGTTTGAAACCATCCTGAGCAACATGGTGAGATCTCATCTCTACAATCTATCAAAAAATTAGCCGGGTATGGAGGCATGCAGACGTGCGTTCAGCTACTTGGAAGGATGAGCGGAAGGATCGCTGAGCCCAGCAGGTCAAGGTTGCAGTGGCCATGAGCATGTCAGGGCACTCCAGCCTAGGTGACAGAATAGACTCCGACTTAAACAACAACAACAACAACAACAAAACAAAACTATGCTCTCATTGAGCCAGGAACCTTGGCACAGACTCCAGGAAGAGTGATTAGAGAGACTGTGTCCCAGACCAAATGGACCTCTCATCTATTTGTATACAGAATTTGCAGTTGAATGTTGTGGCTCACACCAATTATCCCAGCATTTTGGGAGGCTGAGGCAGGAGGATCACTTGAACCCAGGAATTTGAGACTAGCCTTGACAACACAAGATACCATTTCAACAAAAAATTTTTAAAAATTAGCCAGGCATGGTAACACAGGCCTGTATTCCCAGCCACTTGAGAGGCTGACTGCCTGAGCCCAGGAAGTCAAGGCTGCAGTGTGCTGTGATTGTGCCACTGCACTCCAGCCTGGGCCACAAAGTGAGACCCTGACTCCAAAAAAAAAAAAAAAAAAAAATGTAATTTGCTATGTCCTTACTCTTGCACATAGTTACCGTTTGGGGACTATGTGGCAACGTCTGCTCAGGACGAGAGAAGCAATTAGAGAATTTCCAAAGCCATGGTTTAGCATCATTATCTTGTTGAAGCCATCCAAGTGTTCTACTGCAAGCGCTCTCAGCTCCGTTTCCTTCCATCATACAGCCATACAAAGTGGTTCAACATTCTTTCATCTTTCTTTTCTTTCATTCTTCCACCCTGTTAACGAGTAAGATTTCAATGTTATTGCTTTGCATAAGTACAAAATTTATAATACATTAAAATGTGAAACTGCAACTACATTTACAGTGCTCCAACAATGTAAATCTTAGTAAACAAAAGAATATCAGTTTTTCAGAACAAAAGAATATCAGAGCATACTAAGGTTACTAAAATTTAATAAATCTAGTTGATTCTGTTTATGTTTAAAATCTAACTGTATCAATCTGATTTTTTAAAAACTATAATTGGCATTCATCCTGTTCCACAGCTCTTCAAATGAAAAATAAACTCTGAATGAGTCAAATTTCTTTTCTATGCACAGCTGTGCTTGAGAGAAGTAGCCAACTCTTGGACATCTGCATCCCCCTGAGTGAGAATTTACGTCCTCCCTTGGCTGGCGTCAAACTCCTCGGCCCTTAGTAGACACTTTCTATAGTTTTTCTTAATTATTCCTAGCTATCTCTTCCTAAAGACTCTGCTTAGGAGAGTCAAAAAGCTAACAGAAAAGAGAACCTAATCTTAGTAAAAGAACAACCACCATATCCTCATTACCAATTACATAAGAGTTTAAAAATGATTTAAGAGCAACCTCTCCCACTGTGTCTTTGATCTGAGCATGGAAGATTCAAATTAAGAGGCCTCTGTGGACTTTGAATCTGATTCTGCTACAGAACAAATTGAACCAATTTCTTAGTTTACTTATGATGAAAGTGCAATCTGATATACCACCCAAATGCTAACAATTAGAGAACACTCAAGTCACAGGTATATGTTTTCCAATACACTCCTCTCTAAACTACTCCAGTGCAAGACATTTACAAGTCTTAAAGAATACAATAAAAGCAGACAAAATCAAGCATATCCATGGGATGTGTAGGCAGCTGGCCAACCACGAAGACAACAGCATCACACTTCCAAGTCCTCACCACAACATCCCAACGACCACCTAACTCTGGCCTACAATGGCCATTTTAAGGAGATTAATTTCATTATCTCTCAGGAATTTCATCTAGGCTAATTCAGTTATACTTCTGATAAGATACTCTTTTCAAGAGATTTTAACATGTACATGGCAGAAAGGGGGTGAGGGGTAAGATGTTTCCACAAGTACTATTTTTTTTTTTTTTTTTTGAGTTGG